TGTGAAGCAGCCCTTCCTGCTCACTAGTCACTGTAATGACTAATGTAATGTGATGGAGTGAATAAATACAGGTTGTGCAACTGACATTTCACTCCAGAAATGTCCCAACTTGTTCTGCATGCAGAGTTGACATGTAAGTAGTATTTGTTGGCAAAATCGACTCGACTTGTGCTCAGAGCAATATGTCTGTTGGATTAAAAGAAGTGTATTCACAAGCCTGCTTGTTTACAATGTCATAGAGCCACAACACATCGCTGGGAGCTTTGTTGCCTGATTCTGAATCGCAGAACAAATTGGAGGTTTTAAAAGTTGCTGTGTATATTTTACTTTCATTGTAGTTTAAAATGCACACAGTGATATAAAAAGTGTCACAATCACGGAGAGCATCTCAACAGTGATTACTCACCTCTCCTTGTCCTGTTCTGTCCTGTCCTGCAGGGGGCGCTGCTTTGGGCTTCAGTTTCTTCATGTCCAGAGCTGCGTAGGTGATCTCGGGCTCCTGCAGGGGAAGAAGCAAACAGCAGGAGATCCTGGAGCAGCTCAGTGGAAGAGCAGAGGGTCACCCACTGGAGAGGGGACGGGACTCTGGGATTGACGAGGAGAGCCGAACGCTGTCCCCGTCATGTCATGTCTGCCATGCTGTCTCAGGCTCTCACCTGAGTGTCTGACAGGTGTCACAGCACCGTCACCCCAGGACTGAGAGGAGTATTCAGATCAGGTGCGTCCCGCCTACAGGTGGAGACGAACTGACCTGTGTCCTGACGAGGGACAGGAGCACTTGTGTGTGACAGTCTGTGACTGTGTGACGGGGGGACTTACGCGCAGGACTGCTCCACCGTCAGCTGGTGAACTGTGAGGACAGAGACAGGCAGACGACGGGTCAGTGCGTGTCATCCCCATGCTGTCTAAATATAGAGTGTCTTAATAAAATACACATTCCCAATACTACACTTCTCTGTTGCTTTTTCAATTCTTCGTTCATTTGAGAATCTCGTTCCCTTTCTTGGAAAGTGAGTGGGGGTCAGGGGTCAGAGGAGAGAGTGGGGGTTGGGGTTCAGGGGAGAGACAGGGAGGGGGTTGGGGGTCAGAGGAGAGAGATGGGGTCAGGGGTCAGGGCTGAGAGAGAGAGTGGGGGTCGGAGGTCGGGGGTCAGAGGAGAAAGCATGAGTGGATGTTGGCAGTCAGGGGAGCCTGTGGGAGTGGGTGTTCGTGTTCTGCTAACTCGCATGTTGAAGGTGTCTGCCCACTCTGAGCTCAGAGAGAAGCTGTTTTCCTCACTGTCAAGTACTGGGCATGCTGGGAAATCAAAATTCTTCTGTGGAAATAATGATATTGGTGCACAGTCCCAGCATGCCACAATGAGACCTGCTGTCTCTGTCTCGTACCGTACCTGTCCTCAGGCTTGTGCTGCTCCCCTGGAAAGAGAAGACACAGCTGTCAGCCTTGAACATTCACCATCCTCCTTGGTGTTAATAATTATACTGTATTTACTGACATCCATTGTTTCAATTAAATCTGTCCTTTTCTGCAGCACAGTAACTCCTTAGACAAGAGAGGAAATTCTTGTGCCACTTTCAATTTATATTTTTGGTGAGAGTGTTGCACTGTCTTGCTTTTGCAACAGTCTCATGTTAGTAACTATTACCTCTGCGTTTGCAGTACATCAGAAGTGCCACGGTCACTAGGAACAGAATTATGCCGCAGGCCACACCAGCGTACAGAAGGACAGTAGAGGGCCCTGAAAGACAGAGACACTTTACTGCAGGCACAGCCCTGGACACCCCATACTCAGGTCATCTTTACAGCTCACAGGAATAGGATCCTGCAGGACAGAGACACTTTACTGCAGGCACAGCCCTGGGCACCCCACACTCAGGTCATCTTTACAACTCAAAGAAATAGGACCCTGCAGGACAGAGACAGTTTACTGCAGGCACAGCCCTGGACGCCCCACACTCAGGTCATCTTTATAGCTCACAGGAACAGGACCCTGCAGGACAGAGACACTTTACTGCAGGCACAGCCCT